GCCAGCGCTTTATTCTTGAAACAGCCAAACTCACATATGCTGTAAGGTATATGTAAGGCACAGCTGGTGTCAGGGATTCACCTCCGCCCACCCACCTGACCTCAGTTTCCTTCAGTTGAAGAATCTAAGGTGATATGCTGGGCTGACATTGGTTCTGGTGAGAGGCAAGGACCTTGGAAGGAGTGTCAGGGATAGGACAGCCAAGGGGGGCTGAGAGCGCAACTCCCAGCCCCGTCCCCTCCTGGCTTGCTGGGGAACGTTCATAGCTGCTTGGGTCTCTAAAGGATAGGTCTAAACCAGGGCAGCAAACCCACAGCCTCACTGGACTTTAAAGCTGCCTAGAGGTCCCGGGGCTGGGTCCTTCTGGAGGCTAGGTGAAAGGCAGGAATTGCTCCGAACTGAACCCCAGCTCTAACGGAAGCATTTAAATAAAAAGAAGCAATAACAAATCCCAACTCACCAAAATAAATAAATAAATGCCATACCGGTCGTGTTTCTAGCATGTTTCTGGCTGGTGCCTGCTCTAAATGGTTCTCAGTCACCTTGCTGATCAGACAGGTCACAAAGGACTCTACCTAGCATTTAGCGCCGTTTGGCAGCGGATAGAACCTGTGCTTCAGAGGCAGACACGCTCAGATTCAGGTTTTGCTTCCTTGAAGAACTCCTGCCAAAATTTCATTTGTGCCTCAATCTCCTGATCTCTAATAATGGACGTGCCTCCCTCAACTCCATTGCCGTGAAGATAAAGTGACATTACTAGATGCAAAGTGCATGGTATGGTAAGACCTCATCAATGATGGCTGTGCTCATAATTAATTAAGAACAAGTTCTTGAGGCTGAGTGAACTCTCACTAGGCCCCACATTGAAGAGTTCATCATCACAGTCTTCAATTCATACAAGTTTATTCTTTTGCGTAAAACTATCATAGTAACTCAGAAACTAAATGTGACTGACGTTGCCATCCAGAATTTCTTTTTCATAGAAATGAACTCCCCCAAGTAAGGGAGGAAACAGCTTTGTCGGATGAAGTGACTGCACGATTGAAATAGATGATCATCAATAAACAGAGAGACCAGACGGGGTTTTGAGCTGCCTCGGAAAAGCTCTCAGATTTCTGTACCTCATGCTTCTAGCACAGTTCTGCCAAAGGAACCTAGAACTGAAATAAGGGAAGAGAAGAAACATTTATATAATGAAGCTCTGACTTGGAAACAGATGGCCTCTGGGCCTACCACTACAATCGTGGGCTGCAGCGCCTTGGATAAGGCCCTTTACCTTGGGGCCTCTGTTGCTCCATCTGCAAAAATGGGAGGAATAAGGGAGGGGGCAAGGGCATAAGATAATGTCTACAAAAAGCTTGGGACCAAGTTAGTAGATACTGAATGAAACAGCGGCTGTCTGGGTCTCCCTCGAATCTCCTTCGGAAGGCTCACCCCTTGCATCTTGTTATGCAAGGACCTGGCCACCTTCTTACTAAAACCTCAGCCACCACCTGTGATGGAACCCCTTTTGGTTCTATCCCACTGAGCTCCAACCGCGCTGCTCTTAAGAAATCACCATCACTTTCAAATCATTCAATTTGTCCAATATACATATTTGCAAATTCATTCTATTAAAGAGGTACAATAAAGTGTCTGCATTGTCCAATTAATGCCAGTAGCCCTTCAATCACAGCCTGCTCGCAAAAGTGTCTTGATGGATCACTCATCTTCTCTGATCCAGTCCAGTCCACGTTGGTCTGTTGTCACTTGTCCGTGGAGATGAAGTTGTTGCAATCATTGGGTAGCAGCTGAGACTCGTAGGGAGATTGGATGAAAACCTCTGCATGCATGGTGGAAAGCACTTGCAGAGGTGTGTGTGAGAGAGAATACACAATGGAAAGAGGACACTGCTGGAGAAGGATTAGAGTTTGGCTCCCATCAGTCTTACAGGTCTTGATTCTGAGGTGTTGGCACAAATAAAAACCCATGAGCCTGCAGCTGTGAAGGTCCCTTGCAGAGTTCTTTGTAAGGCAGCACCAGTCATTCCAGAGATCCATGATTCTGGTATTTCCCAAGTACCATCACAGTCCTCTGCCCATTTGAACTTTCCATCATCAGATGGAGATGGGCAGATAGCTCCATTTTACAGATAAAGGAAAGGAGGTTCAGAGAGGTCTAATAACTTGAGCAAGGTCACTCCACTCGTAAGAGGCATGCCCACTGTGAAATATCATTAGGAATGGAGATATGGGCCCATTTCCCTTTTGGGAATCTCAGAAGGGTATGTTCTGACTCTGAAATAAGTAGGATTCCATGAAGGGAGAGGAAAAAAAAGCCCAGTCTATTCCATAACTCTTCTATAAGCCAATAATTAGTGCTGGCCAAGCCCGAAACATCAGAATTGTGTTGCCATCTCTCTACCTTCAGTCTTGCTTCCATGGCAAGGTATGTGGGGCTGGTGTGTGGTATAATGGAGGTTAACTTGGGGGGGGCTGGAGGCACCATCTCTGGGTTAGACAAGGGCCAGTGGTCCTGGTTCTGACCCTTACAAGCTATGTGACCTTGCGCAAGTAGCTTTCCCTCTGTAGGATTTAACATGAGAATAAAAACAACAATTGACAACTTTTATTGAGCGCTTACCAAGTCCCAGCTATCACTCTAAGTTTTTTGGGTTGTTTTTTTTTTTTTTTTGCATTCTTTCATCATTTTTTTTTGCAGTCATTTAAAAACCTTCTGAGGTAGAATGTGTCATTGTCTCCATTTTAGTGGAAACACTAATAATGAAATTCCTAACAGGGGAGATATCTCCATGCCAGCGTCTCAGTGCAGCACTCCTCAAAGAGCGAGAGGAGGTTGGCTCACTTTCTGAAAAGGGCCAGATGGTAAATATTTTAGGCTTTCTGGGCCACTATCTCTGCTGTAACTCTCCAACTCTCCCACAGCAGCACAAAACAGGTACAGAGGCAATACTGATTGCCTCAATAAAACTTCACAAGAACAGGTAGTTAGCTGCATCTGGCCTGTACACTGTCATCTGCTGACCCTTGACCTAGAGGAACAGCTTCTCCCTCCTGTTAAGCTACCACAAATCCCCTTTTGTCCTGTCTTCTGTCTCCTAAGTGCCTGAGTCCAACTTACTGGAGAGTTGGCATAGGGAAACCAAAGATGATTCCACGGGGACACATACGGTGGGCTACTTTCCAGTCTGCATCAGCCAGCAAAATGGTAGTGTGCCGGCAGTGATAGTACCTGGGTCACAGTTCATAAGGAAAGGAGAGAGATGTCCCCGGGCAGGATCGAGCTTCTAGGTAGTAACTGGGAAGAAGTCCAAAGAGAAGAAAGCATTCTGGGAACCCAGGCAGGAGGAGCCCAGAGCTGAAGGGGTTCCTTCCAGCTCTTGCAGGGGATGCAAATACAGAGAAGTTGAGGCAGAACTTGTTCAAAGAACTAGACCAAGATGGGACTGGAGGAGATGATAACTTCAGAACTTTTCTAGTCGTGGAGTGAGCCACGAAGACCGGCACAGCCTGGAGCGGGGTAGGCTGAGGACTAGCCAAGAGCCAGTGTGCACGGGGCAGTCAGCAGAACTCCTCCTGGGAAAAGCTGCTAGCCTCGTCCGCTAGCCTCTACTCATCTACAAACACTTGCACGAAAAAGAGAATGCCACAGTTCAGCCCTTGCTGAGTTCACTGGGTAGTACAAGAAAGACCTGTTGCTTCAATGAATCTATTAAAATTCAAGACGGTAATTCTACATGTACTGTGCCCCAAGCCCTGGAGAGGCTAGGACAGTGCACATCCTCCGAGCTGTTAGCATCCACAAGGAAGAGCGACATTTGCACGACTACTACACTGTGATACAAGGCACACTATGCAAAGAAGCACAGACAGACAAGCAGAGGAGATCGCTAACTGGAGGGAGGACTGTCCAAGTGCGTTCCCTAGGAAGACGCACTCTTCATCGCGGGCCCCATAGGCTCCCTTCCGGCTTTGCTAAGCAAAGATCTGCTATGCTCCCTAGGTCTCGTGCAAAGCACCTAAACTTCTGAGAATGTGTTTTCTCCTGGCAAGTATGAACCTAACAGCCTTTCCAGAAGAAAGGGCGGGGGATGGGGGTTGGGGTTGGGCAATTCCCACCAATCAACATTCGAAAAGAACATGAATTATCTTGTGCCCTTGAAGTCTTTTCAAGAGACTGGACTTGAGACTCACTTGGTGCTTCCCTCACCAAATGACCTGAAGGAAAGCCTTTTCTTCCTACGAATATTGGAGCTTTAAAGGGAAGTGAGGAGTTGCAAAAGGTAAGAAGAACTAAACTCCGCCTTTATAAACTGATTTTAAAAAACCCCAGGCTCGCAACGATAATAAAAATGCATTTAATAGCATGTTAATATACAGCTTAAATGTGTCTTTTTTTTTAAAGTCAGTGCATAACAGGGATAAAGAAGAGAGATTTCATTTGGAATGCACAGTCAAATGCTAAATAGAAGTGCTGATAAATCTTGGTGCTCTTACAGTATTAAAACTTAACTCCTGGTACGGTGGTCTGTGCCGGCCAGGGACTTGCCTGGTCTAGTCTGCAATCTACAGTTTTAAATCGAGTTGTATACAAGTATTAACAAAAGAATAAAGTTTATTATCCACAAAACTAAAATAGTATCATAAAGCTTCCAAGAAAGTACAGCCTAGAACGAATGAGTTGAAAAACTAGTTCTAAAAATAATAAGACTTACTGGACAGTTTTGGAAAGTGATATTAGAAAACAAAGAAAGCAATTGGCACAGTTTAGCCACCCTATTTCTAAGTGCACTTTGTAATGTTCCTTGCAAGCTGCCACTTTCCCGGGATAATGACAAAAAGCTCCAGTCAGATGTCACTGGCTTATGGTGACGGGTTGTTGTTGTTGTTTTCTATATATATATATATACATACACATATATATATATATACATATATATTTACATGTATTTTTATTGCATTGCCAAGAGTAGATTTTAAGAAAAAACACTACAAAGGTTTCAAAAACCCTATTTATTCTCTATCATCAAAAATAGCAACAGGGGGACTTATACAACTTTTCTGTGAGTACCCACCAGTCTATTTTTTTTTCTTTAAAAAAAATAGAAGTTAGTTAAAGAAAAATGATTTGGTTTTTAAAAAATAATGTAAGGAAACACTTAATCGATAGCCCAAGGAGTCATCAGAAATATGTGTAGCAAGAAAGCTTCGTTGGTGGCCCTCTCCGGCCTTTGCATGTCTTTTCCTAAACTAGAAAGAGAATATACAGTACCAATATGTTCCCCAACCTGCTTGGATCAAATTGTTTGTTTTTAAACCCATTATTGCTAAACCAGAGTGTTGACACTGAGAGCCGAGGAGTCCACTCATAGAGGATAGAATTGAGAGGCTGCTTCCGAGGACTGGATTTCCACTTGGGCCATTTTGAACTGAGTGCACTGCAGCCATTTGCGGAGAGCAGCCAGGCCAGCAGTGCTCTGGCCCGAGCCGGGCAGCGTCCTTAGGCTGTGGTGGTTCACGTTGTTCTGAATGGCCTGGAGGCGAAGCTGAAGGCCTGCCGATAGGTGCTGTTAAGAAAAGGCAGAGCGTTTAGTTCCCTTCTTCCAGAGCCCAGGCTAGCCCAGGGAGGGTGAAGGGGCCGTGGCAGTAGACAGGCTGCTTGTTTAGTAACCCAGTCCTGGGCCAAGGGTGTTCCAGTGCCACTGCCCAGGGGCTCATCTTATGTTTCTAGAATCACGTGGCCCAGCTCCATCCAAACAACCATGTGCCCGTTATAATGACTGACTCATTTCAACAGGGACAGGATACTGACATGCCAGCATCTGGACTGACACATTTACTTCTTATCCCCGGCAATTATTCATATTCAGCACATGGGCTTCGTGTAGCGGGTAAATGCTAGGACTCTGCTCCCAGGTTCCAATCCTGGCTACTCTATGGGCACCTCTGAAAAAAAAAAAACAAAACATTCATGCCAGGGTGTCCTAATGGGTAGTGTGGGAGAGTGGTACCTACTCTGAGGTGTTTGTAAAAGGAGCTAGTATGTATTTAGAAAAGAACTTTGCACGCAGTGAGTGCTCACTGCTTTTTGGTGTGTTTTGTTTTTTGCAGGAGGGCTGGTGGTGGGTGGGGTTTGGGGTAAGGGAAGTGGGGGGTCATCTCAGTCCTGGGGCTTGAACTCAGGGCCTGGGCACTGTCGACGAGTGATCTACCACTTGAGCCACAGCTCTACTTCTGGCTTTTTAGTGGTTCATTGGAGATAAGAGTTTCTCAGCGTTTCCTGGCTGAGCTGGCTTCAAACTGCAGCCCTCCGATCTCAGCCTCCTGAGCAGCTAGAATTCCAAGCATGAGTCATCAGCACCCAGCCTCACTGCATTCTAATTGCTTTTCTTCCCCTCGCTTCCCATCAAGTTCTCTCAGCTTCCTCTCCGCAGTAGGTGCAATGTGAAACTGCCACGGGCTCCCACCTAGCAGGGAAACAGCGCAGCAAGCGACTGAAAATGGTTCCAGTGGGAGGACAGGCAACTCATTTTTCACAGAGAACACATACCAGGAGAGCTGCTTGGCCGCCGCTGCCTCTGCCCTGCCCGCGGCTTCAGACAGCCCCGGTGGTGCAACACGAGGAGTCCGCACCCCCTGCCTTCCCCTGACATCACTCCCCAACTCAGGGAAGAAACCTTTCAGGAGAGCTGCCATCCTCTCCTCGGTCACCTAGACCGCTGTGCCGCAGACAAAGGGCAGTCTTAGGTGGGGCAGTGGTTGGCTTTGCCATCAATCCCCACCCCTGCTGCCCACCACCCAGATGTATACTTGTCCTTACAATGACAAATCGTCACAAAAGGATCTTCCCCTTCCAGGCTATGGGACCCTGTCTGAGCCACTCCCTCTCTGGACTGAAACTTCTCCTGTAACATGAAGGTTGCTTCTAGCTCAGTTCTCTCGTCCCTTCAGTGTTCTCCTTGCTTTCTTTTTCTTTTGTGTTAGTCATGGGGCTTGAACTCTGGGCCTGGGCGCTGTCCCTCAGCTCTTCAGCTCAAGGCTAGTGCTCTACCACTTTAGCACAACTCCACTTCCAGCTTTTTTTCTGCTTATGTGGTGCTGAGGAATCGAACCCAGAGCCTCATGCATGCAAGGCAAACTCTCTACCACTGAGCCACCTTCCCAGCCCAGTTTTAATCAAGTTCTTCACATCCTAGAAAAGAACCCATCACCATTAGTGGCCAGGAACCATACTTGCTATACCTAGGACTCGACTCCAGGGTATTCTCTAGGGAGTAGAATGGAAGCTGTGGGCCCTGTGTTCTCATCAGTGGGCCCCGCTCCACCCCAGGATACACCTCTCCGCCCTTCCTCAGCAACCCGGTGGGACTGAGGCTCCTGCAGCCCTGCCTCTGCCTGCAGGCCCCTCCCCTGCCCTCCCCCCCCTCCCCTGTGCCCCTGCATCATCAGTCCTCTAAGACAAGGAGCAGGCTAAACTCCTTCACCTCCACAGAGTCAGCATCAATAATCCTGCTGAATTCTGGACGTTCTCTGGAGGAAACTGAGCTTCCAACCTGCCCAGAGGGGACTTACCTTGATATTTGACTGAATCATTGGCAACCACATAGGTATCAGCTGTGTGGAGAAAGACAGAAGCCTCGTTATTGCTGTTCTCCTCTCCCGCATAAGCTACCCTGGCTACAGCGAGCACAGGACACACTGAAGCCTTTAACACCGCAAGAGGATGTGGCCTGCTGAGCAGCTACCTGTTATCAGGTCAAACCCCACTGGGATGGTGGCATTTGGAAGTTAATAAGCCTGAAATACACACTTTCGAGTAAATGACTGATTGTTCTTGAAAGCTACTGAGCATAGGAAATTAAATGTGTATTTATTTCATTAAAGTCTCATTTTCTTGAGCTAGCACTACTTCCATGAGTTCTTTAGAGTCAGGGCTCTGAGTGGGATGTGTGTCTCCTGCCTGTGGTCATGAAGGGAATGTAACTGGACAAGGAGCAGAATGCCTCAGGGACAGATTGAAAAAGAGAGTCGCTGGAGTCTCCTGGGAAGGAGAACGTCAGGGAGATGGAACCAGACGCTGGTAGACCGGCACGCTCACAGACACACACCAAGTCCCTGCTGCGGTGACTTCTTTCTCAGCTGTTCCTCCGGAGTGGCTTTTTTATGGGGGTGGGGAGTAGTTCCAGTCTCTTGGTCGCATTCAGTCCTTGGGAATATAGTATCAGTGGCCTTGTAAATCCGGAAGGATGGACAGATGGAACATTTTCCATAAAAATATAGTTTGGTGATTTTAATGGGGGGTGGTAATCTTCCAAGTTTGGAAATTCTGTTGGATTTCAGTACTTCTCAGAACTTTAGTATTCTTATGTACATCCTACCATTTTACTCCACGGGGACACCTGTTTTAGTGCTGACACCTGGGCCGAATGAAGGCTGCATAAAGAAAGCAATGGGAGGACCGATGCACCATGTGACCACATGAGCCTAAAATACACTGCAGGGGACCCTCCGGTTCTGATGACCAAAGCTATCTTGTTAAAGTTCATCACCACGGACAGCGTTATATAACCCAGCAGTCATCTTATTTCAGGAATGTTAACTTGACTTACTAAATAACAATTGTTTTACTTCCCTTTTGCTAGTGGCTTCTGTCAGTAAGTATTAGATGTAATTTGGGGCTTAATAGTGTTATGATAAAGTCTTTTTTAAAACATTCTTCTCCAGAAACAAGATCCAGAAAACGGAGAGACATTACAAATAGGCTATTTTATGCCAAAATGAACGTGATAATTTTATTCTTATTTTGGTCTGTATACTATAAAATAAAGACAAATTTCCTGCTTGATTGACAAATCTTCTGCTTCATCTGGCTCCTGCCTGTGGCAGTGCCTAAAACTAGATGTTATGGTTGAATTTTCTCTTTGACCAACAAAGACCAGGCTTCCCCTCCTGCTTGGCACAACTAAAAATGCAGACAAACTATCTTAAACAATGATTTTCAGATATTGAGCATCAGGCAACAGAGGGTGGAGGGAAAGGAAACAAACAAAGCAAGGCCTGCAATTCTCCTGGCTCTTTGGGGGGGGGGCGGTGTTCAGGCAGCAGCACAGAGCAGGGAGACCCAGATTCTCAGGTGAGCAGTAGCTGGGTTCCAAGGCTAGAGTTTGTGGGGCAAATTGGAGAGGACAGAGCTGCAGAGAGGGAAGGGAGGAGAGATCTTTGCACACAGGGAAAGCACCTTGCAGATTCTCAAAGGCTTCCACCTTGAGCTGTCTGCTGAATACTGAGCATATCTCATAGGTAAGAAAACTATACAGCAATGAAGGGAAAAGATCCACAATGCAAAATGATTGCAGAAAAAAAAATCCTTGGTGGTCACACAGAACAAGAATAACCTATGTTCCAATCAGAGTGATAACAGAACAGGTAGAGCACTCATCAGGGTGGTGAAACTAGTGAGGAAGTATTAGCCCTAAAAACGCTGCCCCAAGCTGGACTGACAAGGCGGAATGTGAGCTTCAAAAATACGGAAATATCTGTAAGTAATTTAACCATGTCACTGAACACAGATACTTGAAAGTATCTGTATGAATACAAAACTACACAGCACTTAAGAAAATCAAGTTCACAATGGGAGAATTAAATAAATACAAATCCAGACCTGTACAAAGATATGAAACTGTGACCAGTGGTGAGAATAAAAATCTATCAAGAAGAATAGACCAAAAATGACATCGAATTAGTAGGCAAGAAATTAAAAGCTTCTAAACCTATTTTCAGTAAGATCAAGAAGGAAGAGGAAAGACTGGACATGATGAATAAGACACTGTTAAGATGATGTGGAAAAAATGGCTGATGATCTTCAAATCCAATGAAAACTATAACTCCACAAACCCAAATCTCAGCAAACTCAAGAACAAAAGGCATGAAGGGCGCTGATCCAGAAGTTCAGGGACAGTGCCCAAGACCGGCATGCACACACACACACACACACACACACACACACACACACACACACACGAATAAAATAATAAAAAGCAGAAGTCAATTAAACAGAAAACAATAGAGACAAATTAGTAAGACTCTGTTAAAAAGCAAGTTAATTTTGTTTTAAATTAAAAATTGAGAAATCTTTTTTGTTGTAGTTGTTGGTGGTGGTGGGGCTTGAACTCAGGGCCTGGGTGCTGTCTGAGCTCTTTTGCTCAAGGTTAGTGTTCTACCACTTTGAACCTCAGAGTCTTACAGATTTTCCTGCCCAGGGTTGGCTTTGAACTGCCATCCTCAGATCTCAGCCTCCTGAGTAGCTAGGATTATAGGCATGAGCCACCAGAGCCTAGCTGAGAAATCTCTTATCAGACAGATGAGAAAAAAAATTAAGTCACATATGACCAAGATCAAGAATTAAAGAGGTGACATGATTATGATTCTACAAATACTAAAAGTATAACAGATATATTAGCAACAACTTCATGTTAATGAAATTGGCTATTTTGATGAAATGGACAAATTACCAACGCTCACTCAAGAATAAACAAATACTTGAACAGCCCTCTATTTATTTCAAAATTAAATCTGTTTATGCATATATGTATGTAGTCTATCAACAATACTGGGGTTTGAACTCGTGGCCTTGTGCAGGAGTTCAACCACCTGAGTCACAACCTCTTGTAATTTGAAAATCATTCTGCCATAAGAATTCTGTGATCAGATAGCTCCACTAATGAATTCTACCAAATATTTGAGGGTAAGACAATTTTATACAAACCTTTTCAATGTAAGAGGGATATTTCCCAACTCACTCTATGAGGTCATCATTACCCTAGTACCAAAACCAAATATTACCAAAAAAAGAGAGAAAATTACAGTTCAATATTCATGAACACAAAGTAAGAACATTCTAAAGAAAACCAGCAAGTTGAATTTAGTAAGATATAAAAAGGGTAAAACACTATGGCCAAATATGGTATACATGTTGGTTTACCATTCAAAAGTCAAACAACAAAGCTCACATATTAACAATCAACAAAGTCAAATGACCTTCTTGGTGGGTTTATAAAAAATATTTGACAAACCTTATAAAACATACCTGGGGGAAAATGTCCTAGCACAACAGGAATGAAACAGAAGCTTTCTCAATCTGATAAAAGTCATCTATGGAAAACTATCAGGTAACATTTGCAGTAAAGGATGTAAAACTAAATGTTTTCATCCTAAGACCAGAAACAAACCAAGGTTTCTCACCACTCCTATCCAGTGGTACATGAGGATAAATTTGACAGCAGTATGATACAACAGTTTTGGAAACTAAAAAGTAGCTCTGAGAATAAAGAAAGCAGAAATAAATGGAGAGATACAGTATGTCTACAGGTCAGAAAACTCCATATTGTTAAGATAGCAATTTTCCTCAGCATTAAGCTTCATTGCAATAACGACAAAATTCCTAGCAGTTTTTTTTTATAGAAATTGACACAGTGATTTACAATTTATTTAGAAATCATCAGGTGTAGTGGTTCACATTTGTAATCCCAGCAATCAAGAGACAAAGCAGAGGATCACAAGTTCAAGGCTAGCCTGGGATACATGGTCAGACCCTGTCTCTGAAAAACAAAAAAAATCTAGATATGCAAAGGCTGTAAAAGCCAAAAAACTTTATGAATTTAAATTTCACTGATTTTGAAGTATTTCATAAAGCTATAGTAATTTCAATGGTGTAGTAAGTAGAATAAAATTTAGAATCTAGCTATAAAACCATACAACTATAATTAATTGATTTTTACAAAAGTGTAAAGGCAATTTGATGAAGGAAGAACAATATTTTTAACATTGATATAGGAATAATTGTATATCTATATGCACACAAAAACTCTCAAGCTATATCTTTTTTTTTTTTTTTGATTGTGGGGCCTGAACTCTGGGCCTGGGCGCTGTCCCTGAGCCCTTCAGCTCAAGGCTAGAGCTCTACCACTTCAGCCACAGCGCCACTTCCGGCTTTTTATGCTTATGTAGTGCTAAAGGAATCGAATCCAGGGCCTCAGGCATGCAAGGCAAGCACTCTACCACTGAGCCACCTTCCCAGCCCTCAAGCTATATCTTATACCATATAGAAAAGTTAACTTAAAATGGATCATAGACTTAAAAACTCAGAAGAAAACATAGATAACACCTAGAAGAAAGCACAAAAATGCTGAGTATTAGGACACTAAGACAGCACTAGGAAAGTTGAGGCAGGAGGGCTGTGAATCTGAGGCTAGCCTAGACAACACAGTAAGATTAAAAAATACAACATCAAAATTATCAATAGGGCTAGGAAGGTGGCTCAGTGGTAGAGCGCTTGCCTTGCATGCCTGAGGCCCTGGATTCCATTCCTCAGCACCACATAGCAAAAAGCCGGAAGTGGCGCTGTGGCTCAAGTGGTAGAGCGCTAGCCTTGAGCTGAAGAGCTGAGGGACAGCACCCAGGCCCAGAGTTCAGGCCCCACAACTGGACCCCCCCCCAAAAAAAACAAAATGATCAATAAAATTGATAAATGATTTTCATAAAATCAAGAACTTCTACCCTTCTCTAAGTACTGCTGGGATAATAATGGAAAGACAACACAAAGAAAAAAGCATTTCCAGATCATGTGTCTGGCAAAAGATTTTGTCAAAATTCACCTATAAGGAAAATCTCCAAATTTAATAAGAAAAAACCCAATTCAAGGAAAAAAACGAGGAAATTGACAGACAGTTCACCAAACAGGTGTATAGTCAGAAAATAAGGAAACAAAATGATGCTTAATATCACTAATCAACAGGGAAACACAATTTAAAACTGTATGATCCATTACACATTTGTTAAATATGAAAGATTGGCTATACTGTATGATATATGCATGTATGAAAATGTCAGAATGAAACTCAGTATTGGGTACAATTAATGCAGACTAATAAAAATTGACAGTATCAATTGCTCTCACATAGGTGTGGAGAAACTGAATTGTTCATACAATGCCAGTGTCAATGAAACAGAGCACAATCATTATGGAAAATAGTTTGCCAATTCCTTAAAAAGTTAAATAGTACCAATGCATAGACCAAATTTCTAGGTATTTACTCAATAGACACAAAAGCGAACACATACATAAAGATTTATATATAACTTCATAGCAGCTTTATTCATAATAGCCCTGAACTAGAAATATTTCTGATAGCCATTAATTGATGAGCTAATAAAATGTAGACTATCCATATAATAGAATACTGTGCAAAATTTTAAAAAGATCAACTGATATATGTAATGACATGAATTAATTTCAAAACTATGATAATGTAAGAAACAAGGCAGGAAAACTTAGGCATGGTATGCATCTAGTTACAGAAAATTCTAAAAAGTGAAAACTAAGCAGTTCAATAACTGCTCGGGACAGGAAGAGGTAAAGAAAAGAAGAAGTTGGCATAAGGAAATGTTTGGAGGTGAAAGACAGGTTCACTCACTTGATTGCCATGATGACTTCATGAAAGTAATATATGTCAGACTGTATAACTTATATGACCAATTAACATACATAAATTATACCTTGAAAGAGCTGTAAAAAAGTAAAATCAGTATTGTCAGCCAGCTGCTAACTATATAGTTTCTTCTGCAGTGCAGACTTTTGCTATACTTTTGTGCCTCTCCTACTGGTACCAATTACCTTGCACCATCCTGATAAAAGTCAAGTGTTCACTGAAAATGGGCTGCTATTTTCAACAGAGTGTGAGTTGACATGGTAATTTCTTTAACTAAGTGTGGAGTTACCCCAAGAAGTGAAATACCAACTTATAAAATTGATGCAAATAGATGCCTGGGGGGGAGGAGCTGATGACAGTGTGGAAGACAAGAGACTCTGTAGAACTGGTAGGCACAGAAGGAAAGGCTCGAGAAGAGAAAGGCAAAGTAACCAAAGAGCTAAAACTAGTGGGATGACAGGAAGCAAAGCAGAAGCAGGAAGAGCTAGAAAGACAAAGGCAGTGGGAGACAAAGCTCTCCTTTACGCTTCAATTCGCTACTACCCTAGTGTGTTTCCGATGTCCCTTATAGAGGACAAGAGCCTGAATTATTTTCACATACTTCATGCTGATTTAAAAGAATACTTTAGGAAGAGAGAGAACACCAGCCTTGAGTGAAAAACTGAGACCACGAGGCCCTGAGTTTAAGGCTCAGTGTCATACATAAAAACAAACAAATAAAAATAAATAAATACATTTTGAACTAGATTATCTTAAATAAAAGCACCAAATACCAGATGAAACAATTGCAGACTATTTCCCTTACTTTTCCAGGTATCTTCTGCAGAGTGAGTTACCACCAACCAATTTCTCTTACCACAAGCACATTTTCAGGTCACTGCTTCCCAGTGACACCTACATTCCTGTGTTCTATGCTGTCATCATCTGCCATGGTCGAGTCGGTCATAAGGGCACACACAGCAAGAGCAGAAATAACACAATACCCATTTGGAAGAAAGTTTGTTATATAGAATCTTCCACTTGAGGACTGAATTCACTTTAATTTTCTATTCAGAATACACAGACAAAATAAATCCACATTGGCTCTTAGCAGTACAAATTAGTCTATAATAATTGTAAGGTTTTCCTACCTTGACAAAAATGGTTGAATTGCATTCTTGTAATGCCTCCATTAAACTAATCACATGGAGACACACCATTTCTACCATCTGAAACAACAAACACGAAAGTCAGTTCCAGGCTCAGTGATGCTGACATGTTGCACTCCTCATAGCCGCTGAGGGCTGATCCTAGGAGGTCCATCTGCACAATGTCAGAGAAGACTATGGGGAGTGGGGACTTCTCCTCTAAACCTAAAACCAGAAACGGAACTCTTTCAGGCTCTCTGGGTTTCGTAATTTGTCCTCCTTTCATCATCAATCAGCTCAGGGCTGCCAAGCAAACTTGGGCGTGACTCATGTCAAGTGATAAACGGCTTGCTTTCCTTCATCCTCAACCTTAACCTTTTGGGCTTAGTTACTACCACCTTGGTCCCGCCTCTACTGCTTTTTCATAGGACATGGGTGTTTCACATACTGCCTCTGTCTGAGATTTTATCCCTTATAGAACAAGGCAGCCATGCTCAAAAGAGTCCAAATGTACAATGATTGGAAATCCCTAAGGTTGGATTTTAAACACTCTAGGGAGATTTAATGGCTTATATGATCTAACAGCACTTTCAGAGCAAAATTAATTAAAATTCACCTGAAACATCTGTAAGAAATTCACTTACAACATATTTATCTTTAACATTTGGATATCAATAACAATTTAAAGGAGATCATTGTTGGTATAAGACTATCTCCAAAGCAGCCAGGACTATTTATGAGCCCTAAAATTTTCATATAAACTTCCTTTTGGAATCAAAACATCTCTCTAAAAGACAGCAACATCTGCTTCACTAAAGCAAGTGCTCCTCTAGTGCTGGGATTGTGACTGGAGTAAGAGGGATTCACACCAGGGGGGGACAGGGGAAATGGGAGGGGGGCGCGGAGGGAGGAGAGAACACTTCACTAAAGGAAATAAAGACTCCCTTCCTAATTAGAGTTCAAAGAAAATATTTCTGAGATGAATAGCCAATCAATTCAAACCTCACACTCTGGGAGTAGCATTATCCAAAAAGAAATGCACTCATTACCTGACTTACGTAACTGTAATCCCTCTATATATCACCTTTATCATAACAATAAAAATAATTTAAAAATTACTCACACTCCAAATACCTTCCAGGGCATATTCGATTCTCACTGGTGTGCTCTAGGTTCCTGATTCCTTACAGATAAGAACTCCACAAATGTGCCCCAGTAACTACAGCCCTGGCTGCTGCCCACTCTGCTGAGAGTCCTCCTCCAAGTAGCAATCAAACGGAGGACTCGTAAATTGTTTATCCCTCTGCCTCCAGCTGGCAGTCCAAGTTCCTTCAATGAAGTGGGCTCAGGCTAACTGTTCCCCAGATGTTTTTCAGTGGTTTGAAATAGCCTCTTTCTTGGCTAGCCATCAACATTAAAACAATTTTGACAACTAGGGAGCAGTTGGAAGAATGTTTACAGAGTAACATAAAAAGGCATGGTTTTTTTCAGAACTTAAGCCTTGAGTAGGATGCATTCTGAAATCAATGTGTTCTCAACCTACCACAGAGAAGAGGATCTAATAGCTGAAGTTTTTGAAAATTGTATTGTGATCTAAACATGAGAAGGATCTCCCTTCTAAATCTTTGATCTTATAGCACCAAACCACTCCAAGGTAGCAATTTCATATAAGTTCATTTGGCACTAGGCAGAAAAAAAAATGCTTGCTTTGTACATGTTTTAGGATATTCAAATATTTATGTTCAAAAGATCATGCTTTGATTCATGTATAGACTGTAGAATGGTTACACCAAGCTACTTAACATATACATTACCTTTTTCCTTTTTGATAAAATACTAAAAATGTTACTCTTTGCAAGTTTCAAGTATTCTGGTAACTACAGTCACCTTTCTAGCACCATTATGCGCAGCAGATCTTCTGAACTGTTGTCTGTTTTGTTTTCAACCAAAATTTTGAGCAAGTAGAATAGCTTATAACATGATCACTGATTTAGACAAGTCTTTACAACTTAGATAACAAAGAACAGGCAGGATGAGCAGCCACGAGTGGCTGGGACATTTATTGTGAGATTCTGTTCCCTAGAACTCCATGAACTCACCACTTTGTTGTGTGCCATTAGCTGAAGGATGCTGGGTGTCACTCTACTCCAAAACTCCAGTGCTGTGAGGATAGCTGTGAAGCTGAACTCATTCTGGTTTTGGACATTCGTAGCCACAGCACTTTGTTCACAGTACACCGTCCAGAGCTGGGCAAAGATGAATGCGTGGAACAGGGAGCACATGTGGAGCACAGAGGTCTGGAAAGGAGGACGACAGGGCACTGTTGCATGCTGCCAGGCTGTGGCCTTGCCCAGGTGCACGGTCAAAGCAAAGAGGAGTTATCTCAATTATAAGCTCTGGGATCATCACGAATAAAAAGATCTGCTCTTCTGTCGGTGTGAGTGTGCCCGGGGAACAAAGCATCTTTTCCAAGAGAGGGTGCCTTAACTTGCAGGGCAAATCTACCCACTTTCCCTTGCTCTTTTATGAAACTGACATTTCTGTCCCTAAACTAGTAGGAGGAATCATCATTCTACCACACTCTCAGATGTTTCCTCGTCTGTACAGTGGGGTGGACAGCAGCCTCTGCAGAGAAGTGGAGTTAGGAACAGATGAAGTGACACAGAGCAGAAGTGGCAGCAGTGAGCAGACTCGGAGCGCAACTGAGTGAGCCCTGCCAGCATGCTGGGGACCATGGCGAGGCTTCACACATGCCCTGCATAACCCCTAGTCATCTCCTCGTCCACATTACAGATGAAAAACTAGCACTCTGAGAGGGGTTTAAAGAACTTTCTCAAGTTCACAAGACTACAAATATTGCTGCTTGGAGTCAGTCAGAGATCTGGGTTGAAATGGCAGGAACTGCCTCTGCTTGACTTTTTGCAAACGTCAATCAGGTCATTGAGCGCTCTGTTTTATCACACAGTAGACTTGCTGTGGCCTACATCTCAGCAGGCTCAAACCCACAAGGACCTCCCAGGACTTTGCTAAGTTCAGGGAAAAGCCCTTGGTTCCCTGTACATCAGGTTAGTGGCGTCTGGTTTGCATGTACAGATTCGTGGTCGATGCCTACCTGAGGTTTACTTCGTTCTCTTAAGCATATCATCCATCACTACAAGTTTCAGAGTTCATCTGTGTAGGTTGTTCCAGAGTGTGCTTTACTGAGCTCTTTTCTAGCCTTGCATTCGTGTTGTATTTCTATGTATCCCCAGAGGTTTGATTTGAAAAGATACAGTGTAAGAAGAATTAGAGTGCTATTTCCCTCCATTTCATCCTTGGTTCTAGAAACTGGTCATAAAATTCTCCTGTATTCTTAGCCTTTTGTTTCTCATTGTTTGGAGACAGAAATGCCAGGGAAAACCAGCACTGGCTTGCCCCATAATTTATCTTCATAAAAGTAAGCAATTTAGGAGGAGAAAAGACAGTCTGGGAATATAAACAACTTTAAATAAAGCATTAGCCCAAAGTTGCTTTTCTAACATTTACAGGAGGGCAAGCGATAAGATACATTTACTTCTCAGAAGAAACGTAATTGGTTGATAAGAGCTTCCATTAGCAATTTCCATGCATATAAATATGGTTCCAATCTTGCAGAAATCACTTACCTTTGATTGCTCTGGAAATCCAATCAGGATGACAATGAGATGGTCTGCAATATGAGAACCTGCATCCAGAGGTATGGGGAGGCAAGGAGAGGAGGCATTGGGACACACCGCATTATGTGTGAGGGAACCCAGAAGCAGCCAGGACAGCAAACGGATGTGTGAGACACACTCGATGAATTCTTTCGGTCTAGTTGGGAGGAAGGAAGAATTAGAGATGATTTTTATAGATTCTGTTTCATTGAGTGCCCACAGAATGCTTATTGAAGGGAGGGATTAACAAAGTAAAAGCAGTCTTGAAGGCAATTATGTTGTGAAACACCAAGGCACAGTGTCAACCAGATTATCTATCTCTTTCTCTTATTTTCAGCTCTAATCCTGGATCTCAGCTTCTTGAGCAAGGAGCAGCCATTGGTGACACAAGCTGCAGAATCGCTCTTCAATAATCTGGTCACCTCTCTAACTGGCTTCTGTTTCTGAATCCTTTCCTTTTTTCTTGTCAGAAAGCACCTGACGTCCTCTAGAGGGATGGGAATAGAGAGCAGACATACACCCAGCCACACATTTCCCTGTTCCTAACAATTTTACCCTGCTGCTCTCCTTGCCTATAATTCCAATCCCTTCCTTTACAGGAAGGATGCCAAGCAAAGCAGCAGGTTCTAGCTTGCTCAGAGTTCCCATGGAACTCTGTGTGTCCCCTTCTTCTTCAGCCCCTGTAGAGCCCTGATCAGGGACCTGCACCTCCTTGTGCTCCATTTCATCCCTACTGTGGCTTTTGTTCCAGCTACCTATTACATGGCTTGAACCCACAGGTAACATGATGTGATCGGTTCATACCTAGTGATTAGATGAAATCCCGAGTTAAAACTTTATAAATTTTCATTGCCTATGAGGATTATTGGGATGTTCGCATGTAAAGGAGCAATTTCCTTTTCAGGCAGGATATCACAAAGTGGTCAGGGTCAGCAAGTGAATACAGGGATGGGCCCTGACTTTAGTCTTCCTAACCAATCCTATTTCACACGCAGAAATCTTCAGTACATTCATGTGAGGACTGGGCCTCAGGAAACTCAGGCTTGCTGTGGTCTTATTTATCCTCATCCCAGAAGTCTTACCCTTGCTGCATGGCAGAAGGAGGGTGATAGAGCCACGGCAGGTAGCGGATCACAGCTTTGTTATCCCGGTGGTTGCCCCTGGAGATTTCCATAGCTGCAATCTGAGCCAGGCCAACTTTCAGATGTCCACCAAAGGTATCTTCATGCAGAGGTTGGGAGCACGTTTTCATGTGGCTCTGTAAAACCAAGCATTACTTTGTCACTCGGGCGTCTACCTGGAGGTGAGGAGTCTATCCCTCCGATCAGCACGCCAAGCACACACCTAGTGAAGCTTCACTGGCTTCCAGTAGTACTGAGGAACATTCCTTAGCATGGTTTATCGAGCCCTAGTGACTGACCACTGCAGCCTCTTCTTCATCCATCTGAGCTCCAGTCACACTGGTTCTATACTACGTCCCTTCCCTCCCCCCTTTCCTCTACCTGAAATGCTCCTCTTGCCTCTCTTCCCCAAATCATTTAAATTTTATGTCAAGTGTCACTTTCTCAGGAAGCCTTGCCTGAGCTTCCTGGCTGGGTCCGTGCCACTGACTTACCTATTCTCTGTAGCAACTGTGAAAATCACAATTTTACTTCATTAAATTTGTCCTCCTAGTGGACTATAATTTGTTTCATGGCAGTACTGAGTTTGAACAAAGGGCTCTGTGCTTGCTAGGCAGGTGTTTTACCATTTGAGCCACACCTCCAGTCTTAAACTGTAAATTAAATGAGGGCAGCTACTCTAGCTGTTTTGCTCATCACTGCAATCCAATGCTGAAAACAGTGCCAGGCTGTACTGGTACTCGGTATAGATTTGCTGAATTCATTTTGAAAGCTTTCTTTGTTCAGGGATTTGAGGCCTAGGTTCTACATCTCTTTCTGTCCCCATCGGCCACGTGGCCTTTGATAAGCCACTTGCCACTGATCTTTCTGGCTAGTTTCCTAATATGTAAAACCAGATAGTTGTACTATATTTATGGCACCCAATATTTTCACCATTATGGATATTGTTAATATTTTTCAAAGCATCTGAAAACAAGTTCCAAAGTTTGGTAATAACTATTTCCTTTTATGCATCAGTCATTTAAGCAAGGGTAACCAGATTCAGTGATCAGAAACCAGTATGTAACCAACGATAGAAATGACTAGACTGAGACAAGGTGAGAAATGATCGGCTTAAGTTTTTGTTGTTGTTGTTTTTTCCTCTGCTGCACCTCGGAAACACCCTGATTAACTGAGAAGGGTCTAAAAGTTGATCTCAGAGAAGAAACAATCATTTTAGCTGCTGAACTCTGGGATCACTGAGCTCTTTGTTTATCAGAGGGGAATCATTTAGTGTCAGATTGAGATTTGACTGTTCTTCAGCTTGAATTCTCATCTGCCTCTGTCCAAGGCTCTCTCAAATCTCTCGCAACATTAATCTTTTCATTCTCTAGTCAAGTCATGCAGAAGTAGACTTACACCAGCAATCCATTCCACCACCACCCCAAAAATAGTGATCAAGTACAACTTCGGTGGGATTCTGTCCATATGCAAATTAAACTTTGTTCTTTGCTTCTTCTTCAAATATTTTCTTTTTTTTTTTTTTGGTCCGGTCATGGGGCCTGAACTCTGGGCCTGGGCGCTGTCCCTTATCTCTTCAGCTCAAGGCTATCGCTCTACCACTTGAGCCCAGGGCCACTTCCAGCTTTTTTCTTTTTGCTTATGTGGTGCTGAGGAATCGAACCCAGGGCCTCAGGCATGCAAGCACTCTACCACTGAGCCACCTTCCCAGCCCCCTCAAATATTTTCTTAAAGGAGATAGTTTAAACTCAGATAAAATGAGAAATGGCTTACAATGGGTTAAGGTTTAGGAAAATCTCTTTGCCAATGTTATCTTATTTCAACCTTGTAAAATAAGGCAAGGGAGGTGTCAGTCAAATGAGGAAATCAAAACTCAATGTCCTCAAATAACTCTGTGGCACAGTAAAAAGGAATGGATTGGGAATCACAACAGTTTCAGATTCAGTTCTGACTACCATTTAGCAGTAGATTTTGACCAAAGCCTCTCTGTCTACATTTGTAAAATGGAGGTAATAGATATCACAATAAGGACATTGTAAAAACAGAACAAATAGCCAAAAAAGGATGTGAACAAAGCTGATACCATTTGGCCTTCCTTTCCTTTCTTCATTCCTTTTATGCAGAATTGGATCTCATTTCTTCAGACTTAAATCATGGGTTTGTTTAATCAACAGCATCCCAGCTACCTACCCAAGTAGAAGTGAATTCCCATATGGTCCGCTTAATTCTCTAAAAACCTGAGATGAGCATGTGGAAGCCATCTTACCTTCAGTTTGGTTAGTGTGTGCATGTCAGCCATGAAATCCAGCACTTCGCTGATATACTGCCTCATGCACTCCATCGCCGCTGTCCCACACTGAAACACAAGAACACAGCTGGTACACTGTTTACAGAGGAGTTATTCTATTTCCTGCATTTCCTACTCACTCTACTACTCTCAGCATAGTTTGTGATTATCTGTTTGTAGTCTGGACAAAAATTGTTATGATGTTTGTGGTAGAGGACAAAGAAACAAGAGAGGCCTGTAGGAGACTGAGTTAAATGCTATTTCTACTGGGTCACTAAAGTGATTTTTGTTTGCCTGTTTTTAAACTGGTTTATACACAAAGATTCAGCCTAGCTAATGTTATTATCACCCCAAACCACTGCAGCCCTCTGGGAAAGTCTAACATTCCCATAACTATGCACTACCAAATACTGCCATCAGAATCTTAAATCTCATTATACACACACATACACACATGTGTGTGCATCTTTATACATGAGACACATTGTTGTTACTGAGTCAAAAATTCTTATGTTGGAGTCAAGACACAGCTTCACTCTATATACACACGAGGCACACTATTAAGTAGATAGATGAATTCTAGTCCGGTGTTCACTAGGAATAAATGAAAGACAGAAACCAATAATCTTCTTTACATAACTTTTAGTATATTGGGAAGATTTTAATAGGAAATAAAAAAGCACGCTTCTGTTTAAAGTTACTAAATGGCACGAAGATGCTCTCTCAGGGTAATGCGGAGAATTTGGGATCAGAAGCAAAGCAAAGGAAAATAAATTGACAGGCTGCGTGAGAGAACCCACACACCAGGCTGGATATAATGTGGATCAAAAGCAGGCAGTCTTTGAAGTCATGTGAACACTATGCTAAAGGCCTCTGTGGACCTTTTTAGGAAATCTGGAACATTATATACTTAACTAGCTCACCCAGTGGCTCTCATTTTCCCATATTCATGTAAATCTGCACAGCACTGAGCTACATCGCCTCCTCTCTCTTCTAGAATGTTACGCCTGTCAGCTCTTCTGACACGATAACAAACAGTAAAATAAGGTCGCTGGCAGTCTGTCAGAGTGTTTTCCAAGCATTTCATACATTCTAAGGTTTCCTTCTTTTAATTTAAATCAAGTGAAGGAATTATAAAAGGTTATTGTTTTCCTGCTTTTGCAATATGAATCCTTCAGTGCAAAAAAAAAAGTATTTCCCCTGATTTATTCCATTTTCTCTGACCTTTCACACAGCATTCAAATAGAAGCACAGATTCAGTTCTTGAATTTCTTAAAAGGGATTTGTTTCTTTCATCAGCAATATTTTATACCAGCTCAACTAGGCAAATGTCAGAACATAATTACTAGGAGCGTTATTCAATATTTGCTTTTTGAGCACGATTTTCAAGAAATAAGAACAAAAATTACATAGTTACTTCGCTCTAGAGATAATGTCTACATCCAATAAAAAAAAAAACCCTTATGGTCAGGAGAAACTATGTTGTGGTCAGGGGACTATCAAGGGACTATCTACATTTATCAAACAAGGCACAAAATTTCCAATCCCTCCCTTTGTGAACTTTTTAAACCATAGTTACAACCTTAGATGTGTTTGAAAAATCATGAAGAGTCAAGCTCCATTGGTTTCAGAATATTTATATTTGTTTCAGTAGGAAAAATGATAATAAGGAGTTCAAAATCTACACTAACCTCAAACACATGAAATAAATAATATCCAATTCTTCAAAATGTATCTGACTTTGGTATTGTATTTCTTATAGAAATAATACACACTTGTGGAAAATTTGGGAAATACAAGTTACTAAAAAGGAACTCAGCCTTCTGAGTAGCTAAGATTATAGGTGTGAGCTGCCAGCACCTGTCTACTTACTGATTTTGATAAACCTTTTATATAGAAGGAGTATTACTACTTTTTAGCAATCACACAGGTAGAAAATACTGAGCTCTAAAGAACTGATCAATGAAGAAACAGTGAGTGTGCTAGAACTTTTCTTCTCCAAGCACACAGTGGATAGGTAACTAGGTTCCAGCCAATGGGATATAAGAAGATATAAGAAGAACCAAGTACTTCTAGCCCTGACTCAGAAAAGTTGTCCATGTACCTTACTCACTTCTGTTTCCCAACCTGTCCATTGACCCAAAGGGATGCATGTGCTGGAAGGAACCCAACCCTATATGCATCTATGTGGCGCCTCCCCTTCCCCTGCTAATCAGGTTACCACGTGAACCCATTTGAACAAAGTTCTTTTGCATTAAGTTGCTGAGAGCTGGAATTCTATCTCAGAGTGTCTTGTATACTACTACCAAGAACCCTTTCAAAATCACAATCTAGTCATCCTACCCTCGGAAATCTGTCATACAGAAACAGTCTCAAGTATGGATAAGGATTTAAGAACAACATTTTCATTGTGTATTAATTACAATTCCAGAATATGAGGAACAGAATATCCAACTGTAAGTCATACATGTGAGTATCATTCTTAATAAATCACATTTAGCCAGCACCTGCTGTAATATACTTTACATGTGTTTTCACAGTCAGTCCTAACCCTGTATAATTTATAGCATCTTTTTACCGTCTTAAATGAAACAAATAATCATACAATCAAATAAGCATAGGCTCAATAATTTTCCTATCATCACACAGCTAATGACGATAGGTCTCAAACCCTGATGTGAGTCTAAAGCCTACATTCTTATGTCCAATTCCATGAAACAGAAAAATAAAGACAATTAATTTGGTCAGGACTTACTCCGGGTACACAGGCTATCATCTGCTTGCTCAGGATTGTTGACTCAGCTAGTTTGGTTCCAGCATCTGCACAAATAAACTAATAAAAAATTGAAAGGGTAATTATTTTAAGAGCACTTGGACAGTAAAAAGTAACTTATAATTTCATTAACATAGCTTAAATTCATTAGTGTTTACTTTTGGGATAGACTGGTCTAAATACACAAGATTCCCTAGTCATAATCGTTCATTCCTATCAGCCCAGAACCAGCTGAACATGCCCATTCTTACTTTGCCCAGAAATGTAAGTGGTAAGGAAATGGTACATTCAATCAAAGAAAACAGAAAAGGTATCAGTATTGTCTGAGTTATTCTAGGGTCATTCCATTCATTGTGAAGCACTTCTTGACAGTTTCCTGTTGGCCCAGATTGTTAGATTTTCATGAATTCTATCATTATAGCATATACTCAGAGTCAAAACAGAAAAACAATCATCCTTAGAGTGAGCACTCTAACTAAAAGTGTTTCTTCCCTTCATGATGCTCCATGTCTTGCCTTTCCCCTCCCACTTCATTCATGTGCATCATCTGTGCTAAGGTAAGCCCTTAGGTAAGGTAAGGTAAACTCCTGCTCCCTGCGCTGGTGGGAATTCTCACACACTTCCACTGTCACGGTCAGTACATTAGACTGAGTGACCCAGAAATCTGTTTCACAACCTGTAACAAGCTCTTTGGAAGAGTGCAGCCTCGATGCAACAGACACAGCATTAGCCAAGTGTCTGGCATCCCAGAGGACTCATGATGAATTTATGAAATGAAGAAATTAATCAGTTATGATGAGATCATAATGAGGATGGAATCTGTCAGATTATCATTTCATTTTCTTTATTACAGATTTGATAGGCGTTTCTTACTCAATAAGACATTCAGGGGGCTGGGAAGGTGGATCAGTGGTAGAGCGCTTTCCTTGCATGCATGAGGCCCTGGGTTCGATTCCTCAGCACCACATAAGCAAAAAAAGAAAAAAGCCAGAAGTGGCGTTGTGGCTCAAGTGGTAGAGCGCTAGCCTTGAGCTGAAGAGCTGAGGGACAGCGCCCAGGCCCCACAACTGGACCCCCCCCCCGCCAAATAAAAGACATTCAGCTATTTATTTATGGTTTTGGGGAAGCAAGTTAGATAAAGTCTGCAGAGTTTGCCATGAACGATGATCTGTTTACTTTCTCTCTTTTGGTCTCTTACCGGTGGTCCCACAAACTTTGGGTTGTAAAACTCTTTCTATACAGAGTTTAGTCTCTGAAGAAGTTTCAACCATAATAGTGCTTCTTTCTCATTTATTTAGAAGACATGGGGAAGCTAGGTGGGTCAAGACTAAAAATGAATCTAGGCAGGCTTTGTCCCTCGAAAACTATAAACTGGGGTCATACAGAACATATTATGGAGGCTTGATTAGGAGCTCTGGGACAATGGAAGAGAAATCAGCAAAGTGCTGATTTCTGCTAGACTCAAATTTAAGCAGTATTAATGGTTAGCAAGGTGAAGTTCTCAGCCAGAGGCCTTCTGAGACCAACTATTTGTCTTCAACTGTAAGAGGTGTGGTTGCTCATGAAACATATATAGCTATAAGTAAGGAAGTTGATAAGAGGTCAGCCAGCAGAGCTGCTCTCAGTTTTACATGACAAGAAGTGGAACAGTCTTTGATGTGAATATTTTGTCATTTCCATTTGCCTCAAATACTATTACAGGAAGCAGAAGATACTGTTTGATCATTTACTCTGAATTGGCAAAGAAAGGAATATCTGGGAACATCATGGGACTATCTAAAAAAAAACTCCATTATTTTATCCAGGTATACTTATGTCTTTTTGTCTAATTTGGATTTATTTCTAAGGAAATAAGAAAAGAAAAATACTCGGCTGGGAAAGTGGCTCAGTGATGGAGTGCTTGCCTTGCATGCATGAGGCCTTGGGTTCAATTCCTCAGCACCACATAAACAGAAAAAGCTGGAATTGACGCTGTGGTTCAAGTGGTAGAGTGCTAGCCTCGAGCTGAAGAGCTCAGTAACAGCACTCAAGCCCAGAGTTCAAGCCCCATGACCAACCAAAAATAAAAATAAAAAAGCAAAGAAAAATACTAAATCAGGTTTAAAATGATAAAGCCTTTGACTTTGGCTAAATCTTGTAGGTTAAAAGTGACACAAATAATATCTGACAGAAAAATAGAATGAGAAGAAGGAACATTCCCAACACAATCTTCTGGTACAAACTGCACAGTTCTCCTTCAAAACGTTATCTTCCAAAGCCATCCAAGTCTGCAAGCTCAGACAGACAACTTGTAACTATGTTCCAAAACTTCTCTCTGGACACAGCATTAATATTAATTTCTTTATAACAGAAATGAGATTGCACAGCCAAAAGAGGCCACAGGGAGCATGGACATAAGAACCATGGGAGATAAAGGGTGCTTAGAAGAACCTTAGGGACAGTTGAACACGCTAGGCTCTTCCAGCTATGCTTGCACATCTGGTGGTCCTTGGGAGTAAGGTAGGATTTATGAGAAGCAACAGTTCAACTTCTGGTATCTGGCTTCAGGAGGTGCTTTTGCCACATGCCGTACCCAGTGGAGACCAAGACACTGTGTGTGCACATTGTCAGTATGCTCAGTAGCCACCTACGGTTGTCAAGATCTGAGCCCAGATTCAAATGTCTGATTGGTGATGACATTTATGATCAGAATGAAAAAAAATCACTTCCAAATTAATTTTACTCAAACAGAAATACAGGTGTATGATTCTCTAAGAAAGTTCGTTATTCATTTTCATCCATGTACTTTAATCAGGTTTATTTTTACAGTATAGCTACAACTAAAACCTTAGTAAGTCTTTGTGTCTTCATTTAACTAGAGGTGCCAATGATGAACTTGGAAGAAGCGCTTCTATAATTGTATAGAACTGCTCAAAGTGCAAAGCTATAACTCAAATGGGCGGGGGCAATTACATTGCTGTTGAAGTAAAAAGTCTGTACTTTCACAGAGAAATCTGCCACTGAAATATGCACTTGTGTATGGGTACAAAAGAATACCGAAGTAACACGATATCCATTATGTGTCATTACTGAATTCTATCAAAATGATACCTAAAATAGTTTCTCTACTTTAGGTCCCACAGTGATCAGATCATTACTAACTCAACTAATACTCAAAATGCCACTCAACAGTGACTCTGTGAATTAAAAACAACGGCTGTACCTCTGCCATTTCTTTGTCTTCCAGCCCACAACTAACCTATTTTTGAAAGAAAGCATTTTGCCAACATGATTTCTCATAAGTTGAATATGCAGGTATATCCCACAGTGTGGGAAAGGTACATGCAAATTAGCAGTATATATACTCTTTTTTTGGGGGGTGTCCGGTCACGGGGCCTGAACTCTGGGCCTGGGCACTCCTCAGCTCTTCAACTCAAGGCTAGCGCTCTACCACTTGAGCCACAGCGCCACTTCCGGCTTTTTTCTTTTTGCTTATGTGGTGCTGAGGAATGGAACCCAGGGCCTTGAGCATGCAAGGCAAGCACTTTACCACTGAGCCACCTTCCCAGCCCAGTATATTTACTCTTGAGACACAAGAGGAACCAAGGGAATTCATTTTGATTTGAAGTTAGTCTTTGTGATTTTCAATGGGTTATTATTGATCTATTAGAATGCTGTACTTTAATCTATCTCAAGAACAATTACAGTAACAAATACATCAATTATCTACAGCAAACCAGCAAAAGAGAATCTTGCAAGCTAAGGGGAAAATGTCAATAAATTTGAATTAAAGTAACTTAACAATGCATCTGTCTAAAGTGCATAGGGAGAGGCATATTCTGACAGTTGGCATTTTTCTTTCCTTTTCTTTTCTGTCTCTATGCCTCTATTTCTTTGGAAAAAAATCACACGAGTATTTAAAGCCACCTGATTTGCAAGTAAAAACAAACAGCAGAAGTCATGGTTAGACAATCATGATATATTTGGCTGGGGGATTTCCCATGATGCCAGGCCTCCAAGAAGAGTTTCTAGGAATTGAAAAATGACTGTTCTCTGCTACTGTCTTGAAATATTTAGAAATCATGTTTCCCTGCCCCACATTCCTTTCTAAATGTTTCATTGTTTTATAAGGGATCTTATAAACATAGTATTTGGTAAATAACAAAGGTATGTTATAGCTAGGATAAGAAGAACGTGAAGGGCTCGTTTCAGTAAACTCATCCATCTATTTACACAGGAAGTGCCCTAGTAGTTCCTAATTGGGTTCAAAAAATGACTGGACCCTGTCATTGGAGAAACTGTAGCTCCATGAGGGATTATCTATGGGAGTTCTTCTTCCCAATTATCCCTTCTTTTCTGTTTTTGCTTATTGTCTTCCAATCATGATCACAAATATCCATGAAGAAAGTTACTGTCTGGCTTTGACCACCATTCTGTCCTTACTGTGAGCTTGGTTACCCAAGTGCTGGGAGCTGGCCCTGTCCATCAGTAAGGTGAAAACTTCCCCACATGTCTAGCCTAGATTGCTAAGGAAGTTAACTGAGATAGCAGGCCATCTCCTCCTCTGTTCTCCAGAGAACGGGCCTCAGCAGTCAAAGGCAAGAGAAAAGGGACTGGGAAACTCTGCACAGAGATGAACTGCTCATAAAGAGAGAGACGCTGCATAGAGGCCGTCTCTCCATGGCTTGGGCAGGACCTCGGGAAGGAAAAGGGAGCTGCTCATATGAGCGATGCCTCACATTCATTTCTCTCATTAGGAAAGGAAAGTATTTACCCTAAGAGCTTATGGATAAAGAATGTGTTATTACTTCAAAATGAAATAATGCTTCACATTTGTTAGAGAAAGTTGAAATTGTTTATAAAGTTGTTCTTTATGTGCTGGATCTCAGTGTCTCTAAAATACCTCTCTAAGCTAAATCAATTTTTTTTGTTTTGTTTTTGGTTCTTTGGGCTAGGGCCTAAGCTCAGGACCTCATGCTCTTCCTCTGCTTTCTTGTTCACAGCTGGAGCTCTGCCATGTGAGCCATGCCTCTAGTCTGGCATTTTGCTGGCTAATTGGAAACAGAATTTCACAGACATTTCTGGCCAGGCTGGCTGGCTTTGAACTCTATCCTACAGGCTTCAGCCTCTTGAGTAGCTAGGGTTACAAGCATGAGTCACTGGCACTCAGCCCACCTGAGTCATATGTATATCTATACATATATAATATATATATCCACACATATATATGTAACTATGTGTATATGTGTGTATATATACATATATGCATATATGCTGTTATTATTGTTCATAAAAGCTGAAAATATAATCACAGTACTCAGGAGCCAGAGGCAGAAAGATATTGAAAGGGAGGCTAGCCTGGGATACAAAAAGAGACACTACCTTCAACCAACCAACCAGCCAACCAAAAACGATGAAAATGGCAGGTGAAAATTCATAAAATCCACTTTTTTTTCATAAAATCTACTTTTTGCTTTCTTTCTCCCTGAGGCGAATTTGATTGTTATTTAGTCACCTGACTTTGATGCAAAAATCATTGTTTTCGTGATTTTCCCTAAGTACAGGGTGATTTAAACTGTCCATGGTTCTTCTGTTATGGGGTGAGAAGTGCTTATTACAGCTGACTAATACACTTCACAGAAAACCAGCCTCCAGCCCTCACGGTGTGGAGGGCCAAACCCCAGGCCGACCGGCCACACCCGTGCGCTCTGCTCGAGGTGGAGGGCAATTTCGGGAGGAAAGCACAGGCGCAGCTCCCAGGTGGAGGCTGTTGGGCCTACCCCTCCCGACTCCCTGAAGCCAGTCCACTTCTGGGCTGAACAACAACGGCAGGTAAAGTCATTTGCCTGCACCCACCAATCCCCTGTGACCCAGCTGGCACGCCGTTTCCTTCAGGAAGTCTTTCCTAACTTCACCGTACTGGAGGTGGGAGTCTTCCTGCTCTCAACTGCCCCACGGGATTTTGTTTACCTCCCTTTCTCACGGTACTAGTCAGAGCCTGTCTCGAGTGACCCAACCCTGCTTGCTTTGCTGCTGAAGGGCTCCAGCTCCTCAGAAGCAACCTACATCCAAGAGCATCAGCAGTGACAATCCTCCGGAGTCTGGCCTGGATGTGTGCAAGCCCCTGGTCTCCGTGGGTTCACAGGGACCAGCTCACACCTACCTCCTGCCTGGCCTTAGCACACCTGACTGATACAGCACACCTGGCATAGCTCGGCACACTTGAAGGATACAGCCGTCCACCATTGCCATCATAGATGCGGTGACTCAACCCTCAGCCTGCTGCCCCTCTTTTGACTCCCCTTGTCTCTGCTGTGCTGAGAGAGCCATCACTGCACTACAAATCCCTTGAGGACAGAAATGTTCGTTTCGCTCTTCTGTTCATACCTCACAGAACTATTCCACACAAGGAGAAACCTAACAACTGCTTTTTTCTTTTTTTGGCTTTTTTAGCTGGTGGAAGTGCTGAGTACCTTGTATTAGTTCGTTGCTCGTGTAACACTCACTATTTCTCCTCACTAGACATTATTTCTCATCACTAGGCCCATACCTCCCTTATTTGTTTTCCAAATATCTGTGATCTCATGAAAAGTTGTATAAACAGCGTAGCTTACCTGGACAAGCAGAAGGAGATTTGTATCTGGCAAAGGGGACTTGAGCTTTAGGGCCTGTAGCAGTTCTAGAACAACACTACGAGACAAGTAGAATTTATCCCGTTCCTACATAAAAACAAAATAGAAGAGGTAAGAATTCAAAAAATTCAGTTAGAGTAGATCATGTCAAAGGAGCTTCTAAAAATTCACAGGCCAAGAATTAAAAACAGTCTTTTTAAGTGCAGTAAATTGTCTTGAAAAAGTCAAATTAAAGCTTAAAAAAGAATGAGACATTTTATACATTTAATGAGTCCACTGAAGCAATGAAGACATATAATTTATCAGTATGAAATAACAGACTATATCGTAAATATTAAAACTATAGGATTTGGTTCTTAGCCATCAGGACATTATCAAACAAAACTAAAAGTACTTTTTTACTCAAAATGACTGAGAAAAATGTACAATGTTTCAAAAAGTCTCCTTACCTCTAAGTAGCTTATTTTGTCAATGAGCCACTCCAAGCACACAGAAAAAGAAAGCATGGACTCTCCCACCCACCTTCACTAAACAGCATTTTACCTTAATGGATTCATTCTATTTAAAATAATAAATAAACTATAGAAACAGCTGAAGATGCCATAACGTGTTCTTTCCTCCTTTCCTCCCTCCTTTGAAATAGCCACAATTCTGCATCTATGGCTTATTATTTCATGTATGTTTTTACACCTTCCTACACATGTATGCCTTCATTATAGCACACTGTCCTATTTAGTTTTCTTCACCTTTCTACAATGTTTCTCAATTCAACATTTAATAATATTTCACAGTATCAGTCCTTCTGCTGAGGCATATTAGACTGATTTCAACATAATGGGCTTATTTTATTGTCCAAGTTTACCTATGAGTTATCTTTCCTTCATAGCCTAGCTAAAAGTGTGTGAGTCTCCCTGGAGTCATGTACCTTCCAATATGGCAGCTCAGCCTCTCAGCACATCTTCCAGACTGATAAACATTCCCAGCTCAAATCACAACTCTACAGCACTGAGCGCTCCGAGATTCTATATTAATTCTTCTCTATCTGGTTAGCATTTTGTTGCTTGTAAGAAGTTTAACAGAAAATACTGTTTACGTGTGTGTGTATGTGTGTGTGTGTGTGTGTGTGTGTGTGTGTGTGGTCATGGGGCTTGAACTCTGGACCTAGGCGCTGTCCCTCAGCCCTTCAGCTCAAGGCAAGCACTCTACCACTTGAGCCACAGTGCCACTTCCGGTTTTCTGGTGGTTTATTGGAGATAAGAGTTTCATGGACTTTTCTGCCCAGGCTCGCTTGAACCATGATCCTCAGATCTCAGCCTCCTTAGTAGCTAGGATTACAGGCGTGAGCAACTGACATCTGGCTACTGTTTACTTTTTATTTAGCTTTTTAAAGGTTAATGAGAAAGACAGATTCAAATTATTTCTCCTACTGATGTCAGAAGAGAAAATCCAGAATTTTTATTGGTATTATTATAAATTCACAAATTGCTTTGAGGAGATAAGCTGTCTTTGTTATTTATACCATGTCCTCAGCCTTGAAAATGAGGTTTGTCTCCATTATTTAGTGTGCTTGAGTGTTACTCAATAAAAATTTCCAGTTATCTCTGTAACATTCTTGCAAATTTTTGTTAGGTTTATTTTTTGTTGCCGCAATAAGTAATATTTTAGAAGTACATTTTACAATCATTTGTAGCTGAATTTAAAACAAATAATTTGATTATACTTAACTGGCATCTTCGTTGAAGTCGCTTTTAAGTTCTAAAAATGTATCTATAGATTCCTTCTGGTTTATTTCTAACCACATCTGTGAAAAATGACACTTGTATTTTTCCTTTGTGATCCTCATACCTTAGTGTCCTGTCTTGCTGAATGCAGTAGCGCCTCTAGCACCAGGAAGAACAGAAGCAGTGACCTTGGGGAACCTGTGTTACTTATGATTTGACATTCACCATTAAATACAATGCTTGCCAGAGGTTTCTAGCAGAGCTTTGCCAAAGACGCTGTCAAGTTTGATGAGTTCATGTCAAATTAACAAAGAATGCTTTTTTTTTCATTTCTGCTAAAATGTTAAAAACATTAATAGATTTTCTAATATTTACATTTCAAGAAAATTGGGTCATGAGGTTCTATTTTCAATGCATTGATTTGATTTTAACTATTTCTTATAGTTTTCATTATCATATGAGAAAGAAATGCTATGGAGTGAAACTTTCTATAAATAATAATTTTGGAAGGGGGGACCAAGATGGTGATGGGACAATAGGGAAACGCCACAGCTCTCTCCAACCAAAAAGAGAGTTCAAGTTCCAATGCTTAATTTCCCCAAGAGACCGACAACAACCAAAAGACCCAGAGTAAAACAAGAGGTGGAAAAAAACAAAAAAGAAAGAAAGAAAAGGAAGAATTTCAGAACAAAGAAGCGTGAAGACCCCTCCCCCAACCTTTACAGGCTGCACGGCAATGCGCCAAGCCATGGCCAGCCCAGCCCGTCAGGGGCTGCCAGAGTCCCCAGAGACACAAGGGGTCGTCTGCAGATCACCTGTGCAGAAGATGCCTGAGGGACCTCAGTGTCGGACCTGCTGATTGCCATGAATAGAGAAACCTCCAAGCTGGGAGCCTGCACGAAGATCCAACCCCACCCCTCACTCTCTGAGCAGAGGGGCTCCATCCTGCCAAAGCCACTCAGCCCCATGGCGGGAAACCCAGAACTACACGGGTTGCCCACAGAACGCCAGAGCAGAAGACCTGCAAGGTACTGGTGCTGATTCAGAGAGCACAAACAAAGACAAACCCCAGCGCTCAGAACCTGAACGGAGACCCCTTCCCTACCCCTCAGCCGGAGGCTGGAGGCTGGAGGTCCATCCTTGGCGCCAACCTGAACGGCATCAACAGAGACAGAGGAGAAACACGCAGAGCCACCACGGCCTGGCCCAGTCCTCAAGCATCGCAACTGAACTCTGATTGCAGCGGCAACCAGCAACCTACATAGCACAGAACCAACAACTAGCTCCAGGGTGAGTACCCCGCAGGGGACAGTATATCCCTCAAGGGAGACCAGAGCTGGTGGGAACCCCCAGACTTTGACCGAAACCCCTACCCCAATACCTGGACTATAGGACCCACTAAAACTGGGAAATGTTCTAGAGCTCCACTAGCCCGTGGAGCACACCCAGCCGGCCAGGCTAGATCAAGGGCACCCTTGGAAGGGAGCTGAAACACCTAAGCCAGGAACAGCGCCCCTGGGTCACAACAGCCAACAGTGGAAGAAACTTGAACTGTGTACTCCAGGCTGTGTAACCCAGGTGGGATACACAGCAGCCCAGTTCTAACTAGCATGCCCCAGGCTAGGGACCAGGAGCCAGGACCAGGCCCGGGGATCCGGTGCCTGAGCAACACAACCAACTTCTCCGGGTTGAAGCCAGAAGCCGAGCATATGTCTCAGCAGAGGGAGTAAAACAGGGAACTGCACCCCCTGGGAATCACCCTGTGACAGCAAAAGACCTGGGTGTCCAGGGCAAGAGAACCAAAAGCCCAAACCCCACCAGAACCCGACCCATATATCCCAGGCCAGGAATTGGACAACTCAGGCTATAGCACCTGATAATAGGCAGGTAGGCAGGAGCTCAGGCTGGTAAGGTGGCTCAGCAGTAGAGTGCTTGCCTTGTGTACATGAGGCCCTGGATCTGATTCCACATAATCAGAAAGGTCCAGAAATGGCACTGTGGCTCAAATGGTAGGGGGCCAGCCTTGAGCTGAAGAGCTGAGGGACAGTGCCCAGGCCCAGAATTCAGGCCCACAACCAGCCAAAAAAAAAAAAAAAACATCAGGAGCCCATAGCAGACTCCAGCAACTAGAAGAGCACACCAGATCTCGCTAAGAGCACCTGTAGGAGTAAACAAGAGCAGTCTAGGCCACTCAGTCCTTCTAAAGGCAGGAACTGCCAGTGATCTACAGCAGAGAGCCGAGAGTCCTACGTGGGTCAGACCAGCAGCTGGAGGTTGGCCCCCAACAGAACTGAGACCAGGTACAGACTCTCTCCGGCAGCCCAGAAACAGCAACCAAGTGAAGACAGACACCTATTGACCAAAACAAAATTTCCCTGAATCCCCATGCGAAAATCACAGAGAAAAATTACAAGGTTTATCAACACCCAGGATAGCAAGCTACCCCCAAAAGCCAGCAGCCACCCAGGGGAAAGCCCCAGTGGAAGCAAAGCAGGAATGGAAGACAAAAGCTACATCCAAGAGATGCTGAAAGCAATGATTCAAGAAGTAAAGCGAGAAATAGACCAAAAATTTAAAAAACAGGGATGAACTATCAGAAGAGATGCAGGGTCTCAAACAGGAGGTGCACGCAAAAATAGAGGCAGTACACACCTCACTAAGAGGTGAGATTAGTACAAAAATAGAGGCAGTACACACCTCACTAAGAGGTGAGATTAGTACTTTGAGAACCAACATCGAATCCATAAATGAGTCCATTTCCTCCATGCAAACCACAATGGAAGCCACAGTTAATAGAGTGAATGAAATGGAATGTAGAGTGTCAGATACAGAAGACAGAATACACTAACTGGACCAAAAAGTCATATATATGGAAAAATCACTTAAACTATGCCAAAGGGAGATCCAAGAGCAAGTGGATAGTGCCAAGAAATTTAACCTTCGTATAATTGGAGTGGACGAAGGTAAGGAATATCAAAGCAAGGGAATGCAACACCTATTCAACAAGATTATCAATGAAAAGTTGCCCCATCTTAAAAAAGAACATCTTACCTACATAACAGAAGCAGATAGAACACCTAACAAGCAGGATCCCAGGAGAAACACTTCTAGACACATTATAGTAAAAATGATAGATCTGAATAATAAGGAAACAATCTTGCATGCAGCAAAAACGAAGAAGGAGCTATACTACAATGGGAAAAAGATCAGAATCACTGCAGATCTCTCCACACGGACACTGAATGCAAGAAAGGCCTGGGAAAGTACCATCCAAGCCCTGAGAACTAATAACGGCCAGCCCAGACTGATATGCCCGGCAAAGCTAGCATTCACATTCGATGGAGAATTAAAATTTTTAATAATAAG